TCCAAGGCACGTAGAGGCTACCGGCCAAGGCTACCTCGAAGACCGACGCGTGAGTACTTCAAAGAACTTGAGTTACTTGATAGACATGTCGAGACTTACTTTGGTGATTTGCTTGCAGCCCGCTTCTAACATTGACCCTTACCGAGTCACCGGTATCATTGTCGAGACCACCTTACTTCAATAAACTTTCTCAACTTGTCTGACCAACAACAAGTCTCTTGCGTAAACTAACCTGAACTGTGTCTTGACTTTCTCAGTGCTCAGTATCTACAACACAAATCTGCTTCTGTCTTTTTTTTTGGCTTTTTCTCGTTTTCTTAGACTTTGATCTGCATAGTCGTCCGAAAAAAAGATTGTTTTTATGTGACTTGGTTGTGCTTGCTCAGCTTGTTCGCATGTTTACAAATGATGTTAACCAATGATTATGCATGTTAAACGAATACATCGAAACGTACCTCTGTTTGACTCTCTGTCTCCCTTCGATATCACCCACCAGAATTGCGAGAAGTATCAATCCGGTTAAACTCTTCAGGACTGTTTGAATCAATTTTTGATCGGCGGTTCTGAAATTTGAATGAGGATGAGTAAGTGTGCACACTCTCGATAAGGTCAGACTCAAACGCACTCAATTCATGAAAAGGGGCAAAAAGGGTAGGTGGTTATGAAGCAATGAAAACAATGAGATGTAGATGAGGGCAGTGTAGATCTCAACAGTATGAGCCAAAAGGAGTTGAGATTTGTCATCAGACTATCACATAATTAATGATTTGAAATGTGATTAAATGTTTCTTTTCGGTTGAAGTTAAATGTTCACTCGCTTCTCGTTTCTTTCATGATCTCTCGTTCTTCTATTTCAGGTAAAATTACAAAAAGTTCTATGTTGGAACAAATCTTTGTTTGTGATTTCTTTTTGAGGTTTACATTTGGATTTAAGTTGGTTGATTTTAGATGAATTGCAGAAATTCTCAATGGTTTGTTTGATGAACCGTTTTTTTTGTGGAACTTGATGGGTCCTTTCTTTGAAAGAAAATGATTTCTTTATAAGGTAGGTATTGGATTTTTTTGTTTGGAGAATTGTTAACATACAAGATATATACAAATAAATTTAAGAAAACTCATCAAGTTTGTTTTTTTAAATGACAAAAAAGTTGAAAAGATGTGATCCTGTTAAGTTGAAGAATTCATCTTTTGCTGATGATCAATATGAAACAAATTGAAATGATTGCGTAGTAAATATATCTTGAGTCTTGAGGCGTCTGGACTCTTGAGACACTGCGCTTATAAAAATCAAGAGCTTCAAAACGTTTGATGAAACGATGAAAGAATTACGAGATGGACAATTAAATTCTTGTGATGATATCATTAAAATGATATCATTTTCCATGTGGACTGTACCAGACGTCGGGAGGTTCCAACAAGTACAAAGGCTTGATGAAGGCTTTTATATGTGCTTCAGACAAATTATTATTCGTCATTGATGATAAATTTTCATGATTTCAAACTTGGAAAACTCTTGTCAGATTTCCCTTCACATAAAAATACTGGATTTCTTACTTTACTTTGTAAGAGATTCTTTATCGATGATACGTTTCTTATCTTTAATCAATCCGATTTTCCATAACTGCGTAGAAGTGTGAATTGATCAAGGCAGTGTGAATTTGATTGTTTCGAGATCTTTCGTTATGAATTCTTGAAGTTAGAAAGGATTAATGTATTTGAGTCTTATCAATTCATCTGATTCTGATCACTTAAATTAGTTTGATAAAGTTTTACTTGAGCTGTTATACTCTTACATAAGTTATCATGCCTTTAATTACACCTCCAAGCTCGTACCCATCTATTTATCAAACAAGAGCAAAAAGATGGTAAGTAAAAAAGGACTCTAGAAAGAAAATAAAGACTGATGAAAAAAATGATTGATGATCTTGATTATGATGTAAAAATATACTGCTTTTCTTGGAATAGGGTAAGTAAAACAGATGAGGAAAAAGAATTAGAATATCTTGAATATAAACTTCAAAAAGCTATTAAATCTTATAGAGAAGCTGTTAGACGTACAGATGCAGCTGTAGGTTCAAAATTTCTATATCCCTAGTTTTTTTTTTGTTGGATAAAGGCATTCGAAGTGATTACTAAAGGTTTCTTTTTTGACGACGGTTTTTTTGGGTATGAGTTTGGAATATTTAGATACTTAGGTTGAGACTTTTGGAACATGATAGACGTGATTTGGAAAGATTAGAAAGAGAGGTAAAGATAAAATTTCTTACGATGAATTTGATTGAAAAGTCTAAAATGGTTATACTGATTGAAGTGACTGATGAAATCTTTCACACCTTTGTAAAAATTCGTGGTGATCCACAGAGGGAAGAACAATGGAGGGTGAGTGATAAGTAAAAATACTTAAAAACCATCCAGTCTCGGCTTACCGACCAATGATGTTGAATGATGATGATTGGTATTGTAGATGGAAGAAGAATATGCGAATGATAGAAATATGCAACTAGAAATTCAAAGACTTATGGAACAAAGAGAAATAGACCTTTCAAGAGGTAATCCAATGACTTTTAGAGAAGAAATGAACCAACAAAGACATCCAGATGATGAATTTTATGATCGTAATCTTGAACAACAAGATCATAATCTTCAACAACATGGTAGCGGAGGTGATCATCAACTTAGATCTGAGCAAGAAAGAATTAATAGAATGAATCAAAATATCGCTAATGAAGTTAGAGATCAAAGACACTCACAAGGCTATGATGATCATGGTTCACATCATCATAGATCTCAACAAGATAGGATTGATGATAATAGAAGGAATTCAAATATAAGATCTGAACAAGAAAGAATTAATAGAATCAATCAAAATATTGATAATAATCTTAGAGATCAAAAACAAGGATTTGATGATCGTGGTTCACGTCATCATACCAAATCCGAACAAGAAAGAATTGATAGAATTAAACAAAATATTGATGAGAATCTTAGAGATCAAAGTTCACGTCAAAGAGGTTGTTCTCGTTCTCCTTCTTGTTGTAGGGTTGGTAACAACAATTGATACACGAATTCCTCAGAACCTACATAGTGTTGATGGTCAGACTTACAGTGTTCAAGAAAGTCTTGTAATTACTACAGTTAGCTAAGGCATGAGTGAAGCTTTCAGTTTATTTTATGTCATTTCATTTTGTTTGTTGAACTTGAAGGACACCGCTCGCTTCAATTATTACCCTACCGTACATTTTTCTAGATCTGGGATGTAATTTTTAAACACGGATTTGTAATGAATCTTTTGACATTTTGTCCATTTCTGGGAGTCAGGTCAAGGTTCAAGGTATAATATCGAGGAATGAAAAGTAAAACGCTCTAGATATCTTTGGAAGATATGATCGAGTCATTCGGTTACTGAATATTGATGGATCTCAGTGACACATGAGGTTGTACTGCTTGAGTCATATACAATCAACGAGTTCCTCTTGGAATAAGGGGTGAAGTCAGAGATAGACAGCAGTGACCAGTGAACTAGTTTAACTTTGGTGTCCTTTATCATTGAAGGTTTTCACAAACTTGAGATGGATGAATGAGTTACAAACTGAAAAAAGATATACTTTTTCAATCATTCTTATCAGAAACGTAATATAATCATGATCTGAAAATAAAATTAAAGTAAAATCGTTGAAGCTACATCATTCTAATTCACATCTACATTTTTTCTTTTAACATCTTGTTTCATCAAGTGTGATGTATTCATAATGGAGAAATTATATCTAAAAGAAATCACCGTTATAAAGATAAAGAAAAAAAGTCACAGTGTTGGAAATAAATCGAAGGGCCATGGTGTCCAAGAGCAGTAAAGGTGTAATTGAGGAATGGTTGGGATGGTGCGTTGATCGTTAGTGTAATCTGATATATAAGTCGTTTGGCTGCAAAAGGGTTTCGAGGTAAGGAATTCATGGGTGCAAGTGATTTTCATCTGAACAATTAATTTTCGTCTCATTGTGAATGGCGTTTCGTCGATCGCAAGGTGCGCTTTCTCCATTAGCTTCCTCAGTTTCAATGCTTGAGATTCGCTGGTCAGTGGGTTGACTGAGATCATTCGAACTGAGTGCCTTTGTCTCTTGGAGCGGATCGGGATGTACGGTAGATTCTGATGTAGGGCCGTCGTTACCATCAGCAATCAGCTTAAGCCAATCTGTTTGAGGGATTAGTGATCTTCGGGGTGACTTTTTGACTATCTTGACACATCGAAAGGCAAGTTGACTCGAATTCTTATTTGGCAGTGCGAGATCTGGGATCAATCGAGGGAGCTGCTATAAGCACATGACGAATGTTGATCGGTTAGTGATCGAAAACAAACAAAAGGTTAGGATGGCTTTAAGATCTGACTCACATCAAAGCTCGTCGATTCTGTTTGAAGGGCCATCCTGAGTCGCTCCAATTCTTCACGACTCAAGTCTGGAAACATCTACAAGCCATAAAAATCACTCTGTTCACTACGTCGAAAGGATTGTGACTGCAGAGACGACCAAACCAATAAGATAACTTACAGGTGGGCAGGGGAGCATCGAACCGCTTTGGTTACCGCGAACCGTTGGAAAGGAGGTCGTGGCCAAAGAGATAGAATCACTCATGTTGAAACCCACTGAATGCCAAGTCTAACGTATGAACTAAGCGCTTGAGGAATTCTAGATATCTGTTTTCAAGTTTCACCTTTTGAGATAACACTAAAGCCTTTCGGATTGAATCCACGAGTCACAGAAT